TTAGGTGGTGTCAGTACACAAGGTCTCTGGAGAGGATCTTCTGTAGAGATCCCTATTCACATCAACATTACAGAACAGTGGACAGTTTATTTCGCCTGGAAAATGTTCTGTGCACACCTCCAGAGCAAACATGTTTCAATGTTAACAGCTAACACCACAGCGGTGTTTTATATAAACAACCAGGGTGATGTTCACTCTTCTCCCCTTTGTCACAAAGCCCTCAAGCTGTGGAACTTTTGCATTGGCCACAAAATACACCTAAAGGCCTCATATTTGCCAGGGGTTCAGAATGAGTTGGCCGATCACCTCAGCTGCTTTTTCCACTGTCATGAGTGGTTGCTTGTCCCGAACAGAGACAGCTTCCTTTTCCATAGGCGACGGTCTCGCCAGGTAGACCTCTTTATAGCATGCCAGAACAGGAAATGTCACAGTTTTTATTCCTTCCTTGTTAATAGCCTGGCAGATGCTTTCCTCATGTTGTGGAAAGGCAGCCTGTTTTATGCCTTCCTGCTCTTCCCCTCATCCACAAAGTCCTGCTTAAAATTCATCAGGACAAGGCGCCAGTGTTCATGGTAGCCCCAGCATGGCCCAGGCAGCACTGGTTTTCGACCTTCCTGAGCCTATCATATGATAGGCTCTCCCACTGACCCCGGACCTGATCAGCATCACAACCTGAAGCTGCTCCATCTGACAGCCTGGATGCTCCATGGTTAAATCTGCGTGAGATTGCATGTTCATCAGTGGTAAATGAGGTTCTCTTAGGCAGTAGAAAGCCTTCTAAACTTGCTACCTATATTGCCAAACAAAAGAGGTTTTCGGTCCGGTCACTTGAAAAGGGTATTCAGCCAGAGGACGTCTCTATTCCTGTTATTCTGGACTATGTCCTTCTTTTAAAGCAGCAAAGGCTGGCAGTAGTTTCTGTGAGCATACACTGGGCAGCTATCTCAGCCTTCCATCCCAGCTCAGCAAGCTGATTTGTGTTTACAGATCCGGTGATAACCCATTTCCTGAAGAGTTTGGACAGACTTTATCCCCATATAACCCTTTTCCTCAATGGGACCTTAATTTAGTACTATCTAAATTAATGGGACTGTCCTTTGAGCCTCTAGCAACATATTTCCTCTTATATCTGTCTTGGAAAGTGGCCTTTCTAGTGGCTATCATATCAGCCAGGAGGGTTTCTGTACTCAAGATATTGATGTCCGAGCTTCTTATACAGTCTTGTATATGAACAAGGTCCATCTTAGGCCATACCCATCTTCTTCACCTATGATGGTTTCAGATTTTCATGCCAACCAGGATATTTTTCTACATTGTTTTTACCCCAAGCTGCATAACTCCAACAAGGAGCTTCTCAGCATCCAGTGTGACTTTTTTTTATCTATAACATACTAAACTGTTCAGGAAATCCATCCACCTGTTGGTTTCCATTACTGATACAATGAAAGGCTTCCCAATTACCTCCCAGAAAATCTCTTCATGGAGCATAACCTGCATTAGGTCCTGTTATGATCTCGCCAAGATCCTGGCTCCTCTGCTGACTGCCCACTCTATACAGGCACAGGTTTCCTCCACTGCATACTTGGTGTTGATCCAGGATATTTGCAGGGTGGCAACTTGGTCTTCAGTCCATACACTTACATCTCACTATGCTATTCATTTGCACACCAGAGACTATGCCATTTTTTGGAAGAGCAGTGCTTCAGTTGGTAACTCAGTGATCTCCCACCCTTCCACCAGATAACTGCTTGGGAGTCACCTGCTTTAAGCTGACATGAGCAATCACTCAAAGAAGAAAAAATGGTACCTACCTTTTGTATCTGTTCTTCAAGATGTGTTGTTCATGTCTATTCCAAAACCTATCTGCCTCCCCTGTGTTGGAGTCTTTCAGCAAGAAGGAACAATATATAGCACCATAGTGGCTCCACTTCAGGGTGCTCCACAGTTGACTGACGGGTATTTCTAAGGGAAAAAACCTGATGACTGTGCACACAGTGTACACACACCTGCTTAAAATAAACATGAGCAGCACATACGAAGAACAACAGTTTTGAAAGGTAGGTAACTGTTTTTTCACCTCATAGAATCCTAGAACTGGAAGGGACCTGGAGAGGTCATTGAGTCTAGTCCCTTGCCCTCACAGCAGGACCAAGTACTGTCTAGATCATCCCTGATAGATGTGTATCCAATCTGCTTTTAATATCTCCAGTGATGGAGATTCCACAACCTCCCTAGGCAACCTTCCTAGGCAATTCACTGCTATCATGTCCACCCTCAGTTTGTCAAGATCATTTTGAATTATGACCGTATCATCTAAAGCACTTGCAACCCCTCCCAGCTTAGAATCATCTGCAAACTTAATAACCATACTCTCTCTATGCCATCATCTAAATCATTGATGAAAATATTGAACAGAACTGGTCCCAAAACAGACCCCTACAGAACCCAACTTGTTATGCCCTTCTAGCATGATTGTGAACCATTAATAACTACGCTGAGAATGGTTATCCAGCCAGTTATGCACCTACCTTAGAGTAGCCCCATATAGGGAGTATTTCCCTAGTTTATTGATAAGAAGGACATACGAGATCTTGTCAAATGCCTTACTAAAGTCTAGGTATACTATGTCCGCCACTTCTTGGTTTGACATGATTTGCTCTTTATAAATCCGTGCTGGCTGTTACCTATCACCTTATTATCTTCCAGATGTTTGCCACATGGATTCCTTAATTACTTGCTCCATTATCTTCCCTGGCACAGAAGTTAAACTGACTGGTCTGTAGTTTTCTGGGTTGTTCTCATTTCCCTTTTTATAGATGGGCACTATATTTGACCTTTTTCCAATCTTATGGAATCTCTTACAACATCCGTGATTTTTCAAAGATGAGAGCTAAAGGCTAAGATACCTCCTCTTTCAGCTCCTTGAGAATTCTAGGATGCATTTCATCAGACCATGGTGACTTGCAGACATCTAACTTTTCTAAGTAATTTTTAAGTTGTTCATTTTTTATTTTAACTTCTAAACTTACCCCATGCCCCATTTTCACTAGCATTCACTATGTTAGGCATCCTGTCACCATCCATCTTCTTGACGAAAACCAAAACAAAGAAGTCACTAAGCGCCTCTGCCATTTTCAAGTTTCCTGTTATTGCTTCTCCTTTTTCACTGAGCAATGAGCCTGCCCTGGTCCTTGGTTTTCTTCTTTGTCTTTCTAATCTTCCCCCTGCATAAGTGTTGTTTGCTTATATTCATCTTTTGTAATTTGACCTACTTTCTACTTTTTATATGACGCCTCTTTGATTTTTAGATCATAGATCTCCTCGTTAATCCTGGTTGACCTCCTCTCTTTTTTTATGTTGCTCTCTCAAGTCTGTTTGGCTTGTGACATACAGAATATCCTGTAGGGTTTATTGCACTAGAGTCAGTTTGAAGATAGGATTGAACCGTATCTCAGTGATTCAAGCGAGGCTAATTTCTTCATCCAACCTTGTATAGAGGGCAAATTCTCTATATTCAGCTAAGCTACCTATGGGGCAACTGCACCATCATATCTGGCTCTCTCTAAATAAAAAAAAAAAAAAAAAAAAAGAGCCCTGCATTTCAAAAGTTTTAACCATTTGAAGTTACATTATGTATATCTTCTGTCTAGATAACTGTCAGTAATTGAAGGGTCTCTAATATGTGCTAGGTTTAATGCACTATGTTGCATTTTAAAGAAAAATATCCTATATTGCTCACCACAGGCATTCAAAAAGCACAAGTCATGACCCCTCAAATCATCTAATTTGTTTAAAAATCATGATGTGTAAAAATAATACACACATTTTTATTTTTTATTATTTGTGAAACTTTAGGTTTCACATTTTATAGCTTTTCTCCAAAACAAAGAAAGGTAAAAACTTATTTTTAAAAAATAATGAAAGTTGAGATTCTCCTTTACTCATATGATTCCAGAAGCTGAGACTTTAAGAACGCCACCAAGTAACAGGAGCCTCACAGTATAATCATGTGTTGGCAACACTGATCTATGCTTATAATAGATTTTTATGTACTATCACATCGCAACATTTAAATACTTTGATGATGTATACAGTTTAAATACATTTATAGAAAGACCATTTGCTTTTCCGGGGAAATGGGTGCTCCCTAAATGATGTTTCTAAGCGAGTATTATAGAAATCAGTAATATATTCTGGTTTTTTAAAATGAGTATTTGTGAATTTCTGCTGAAATTAGCATCTACCCCTTTAATGAATTTTATTTTTACAACAGTTATTATGCTAAGTATTCCTTGAGTCAGATGGAAGAATTTAATCAAGTTGACGAGCAAAATGCATATATACATTTTCTCTCATTTTTTACTGCGTGGTAATAGATTCTGATTTTCACATTTTGCTGTGTCAGAACAAAATTTCCCAGTCTTTTCTCACAGAGAGAACTAGAAATTCCAAGGGGTCAAACTGTGGACATCCTAACTTCAGAAAAGGAGGAAGATTTTGAGTTCCAGGGAATGTACCTTTACACCTTCCCTCTGATCCCCTAGTACTTTGCATCTTATGCAAAGATCTGGATAAATTTGATTCTCTTTTTATTTTTCCTGTTTCATCTGTTATAATTAATCTCAATCTACTCCATTTTCCCAAGGGCTTGATGCCCTGTATCTTTATCAGACTTATGTGGAAATCATTACTGAAGCATTAGAATTGCTGGGATTAGAAATTGAAAAAAAACAGATGAAGTAGTGCATTCTCCATGTGATTGACCCAAGAAGTGACTAATAGACAACAGAAGTATATCACATAAAGTCTGGTACAGTTTTTTGAAAATACATTAATTCAGCATATAATATTAGTTCTTAAAATTTCTTTAAGTAGATATATATGATTTGAAGTCCCTAGCTGATGGAAAAAAACCTTTTCTTCCCAAAGTGGTAAATATAGTATAGTATGTTGTATATATTTGTTTCTATTGACTAATACATATATTTTTTTTTATTTAGTTGCCATAGCCCAAGGTGGAGCAATCCAGATTTCTAATCCAGCATCTGATGGTGTCCAGGGACTGCAGACTTTAACAATGACAAATTCAGGAGCTCCTCAGCCAGGTGCTACCATTGTTCAATATGCAGCACAAACACCTGATGGCACACAGCAATTTTTTGTACCTGGAAGCCAAGTTGTTGTCCAAGGTATATTTTGTGATCTACTAAATTTTAGATTTAAACAAATGATTTTTTCACATAATGCTTGTTGGTGTACAGTATCATATTAAATCAGTGGAAGAGTTACTAGTAAAACAAAATGAAAAAATTAGTGTTAGGAAAAGAAAGGATTGGTTTGCCCATTAAAGACAGTCACTTTCATTTGAAAATAAACATTTATATATTTTAGTTGAAATGCAGTAGTGAAGGAAGAGCATGATGCAATAGCTTGTTCATATGTACATTTTTGTCCAGGGCTTGTGAGAGAGTTTCATAGTAGCACAAGAGTGAAGCTGCTGTCTAGTAAATAAAATGAAATTAAGAATTTTCTAATCAAGCATTTGAAAATGGACATAGGACTTTAATATGTCCTATAGGAGCCTAAGAAGTGATAGGATGTTTGGGACAGTATTTCCATGCAATCTGAGATTGCTTCAGGTGTCAGGATAAGATGGAAATCTGTTCTACTAATCAGGAAACTTCTGTGGGTAGCTAGATAGGCGCATAGAAGAGCAGTCAGGAGAGTAGTTCTTTTACTCCATCCCTGTGCACTGAGCCATGGATGATGAATTACTCTTTTTGGTATATTAAGCAGTAGCAAAGGCCTACAGGTTCTTTTCCTTCTTCTCTGTTTAGCTATTCCAAACAGCAGAGAAATAACTGAAAGAGGAGACAAATAGGATTCAGTAAGGCCAGTAGGTTTCTTCTTGGATTCTGATCAAGACTAACTGAAGCAGCAGTGACATTAGGGCTGCCTTGTGGAGAGAACTGAGAGATGAAGGTGGCAAGGAAGGCAAATTCCTGGAGAGCTTCAATTCCTGGATCGCTCTACAGGGCATGGAGCTGAAAGATGCAGCAGGGGATAAGATGATCTTTCCTTACTTCTATGAGGTGGGAAGTGCCAAGAAGTGGAGTGGTAGGCGTGAGGGAGTCCCCTTCTTCACTTCTTGTACCTCTCCATGGGCCAAGGAGAATGCTGCTTCTATATGCGGAGCTGGTCACTATAGCAGCCGTAAAGGCTGTTGAGACGAGTTTATGGGGAGGATTTTTCTGTGAGTTATCAGTGACTGGCGTGATCCTCATACTTAACAGAAGGAAAGAAAACATTACATAAAATGGGAAAAAGGCAAAATAAATAAAAAGGGAAAGAAGTCAGCTCGGCATGAATTATAAGTTCTTGTATTTAATGTAAACAATTGAAATGTACAAGATTTCAAGATGATACAGTTTTTGATAAAAAAAAATCTTTTTTTATCTTTTTTTAATCTTTTTCTTTTATTTTGTGACGACTCCTATGGGTGTGTTTCCCTAAGAAATAGAGAGATACTGCACAGCTCTGTCTGATAGGCTATTTATATATCACCAATCACCTTGAATCAGTCAGAACAAGAGAAAATAATACAGTCACAGGGTACATAACACTTTAGTGCATTTTAAAACTTGTAAACTAAGATTGTCTGCTATCTCCTTGCCAGGTGTGATGGAAGGAAATGTCATATATTGTTGGTGTGGGAATCCAGTACAATAGCATTTCATAGTATATACGCACTATGTGATATAGTTGACTATTAATTCTGTGGTGACACAATTTTTAATAATATAAAAGAAGCAGTGTGTTTAAAAATCTTACTATGGATTCTGGATAGATGTCATATGATTTTATTAACTTACTCATTGTAAGAAACAGATTGAACGAGTAAGACAACACAATATTGCTACTGGTTTAAAGAAAAAGGATACCACTGAATTAATTAGAAGTTTTAGGCTGATAAGAGTAAGTGTAAATTAATGTAACTTGAAAGTGCAAGGGCAGTCTGTGGAAAATCCTACTGTAATGATGGAAAGTTTTACTTGCCCTCTGCCACCGTGGTATCCAAATAGATGACTGTATCAGAAAAAGTGCATGCATGTCAAATGGCCCTTCTAAAAATGTTGATTGACCGAGTGATTGTTCATTTATATTTGTTTGGTTCTTTTCATTCATTTACCACCAAGTTCAGGTTTAGGTTTATTATTTTTGGGAATATGAAATTCTTCTTGGCGTATTGCTCCTATGGGTACTCACTTGAGGTATGCATGTGCCCTGTGCATCTTGTGTCAGAGATTTTCAGCAGTACTCTTCATTTGGTCTGCAAATGTACTCTAGCTGTCTTTGTGCCTTGTATTGCGGATACATGGAGCTATGATGGACCAATCACTTTCAGTTCCTTGTTGACTGTCCTAGCAGAGAGAGAGCATTCATAGTGCTTGCAGATTCCTGCCTACTTGATACTTTTATAGGTTTTTTATAACCAATAGTTTTTATTCTTTTATTTAGTATTTTATTCTTTGCCAGTTCTTTTTTCCATTGGCCAACATTTTTGCCTCCTGTTTCCACCCATGGCCTCATGTATAGAGGTCGTCCGCCTTTCACAGAAGCCTGTTTTGTTTTGGAGTATGCTTAAGAAATGAGGCTTCAAATGTTGCCTTAGTTGCTGGAAGTCCTTCCCATTTAGTGATGGCCACTTTTTCTGTAATCAGTGCCTCAGAGATACATACATGCCCTCAAAGTGAAAAATCTGCACTGGTTTTAAGATCTACTCCAAGAGGGACAGGAAAATTAAACTTTGCTTCTTTATGATGTAATGCTACCTTCATGTGGCTTCAGATGTAGGCCTAGAAATCCTCCCCAATACAGTGGCCTCCAGGAGACCTGCAAGCAATATGGGAAAAAGGAGTACTAACACTCTTCAGAAATAGCATACCTCTAAGAGATCCACTATAGCAGCTATCCTGCATCCACTAATGGCTTCTGCCTAGGCTATCTTGAGAGGTCTTATGATTACCTACTTTGGCCACCCTTTCCAGAATCTGTTCCTTCAAGAGATATATTAAAATTAGGGAAGCCTTGATCTGCTCAGCATCCTCCTTGGTATTGTCCATTCTAAATGCCTCCTCCATTCCCGTATTGCTATATTGAGGCTCTTAGGCTATTGACCTCTGTCACGGGGTGGGTAGCCCTTCCCAGTGAGATGGGAGCCATGCACCTCATAGCCTGGCTGCTGGGCAGGAAGTGATTCTCTGGTCCTGCCCCATTTCTGGGTGAGACGGAGGCTAATCCATTTGGGGGTCCTGCAGAATGTCCCTTTGTTATGCAAAGGGGCTTCCTACTCCCTGCTTTGCTCTGCCTGGTGCCATGTCACGGGGTGGGTAGCCTGACCCCCCTTTGGGGACCCAGGCACAGCAGCTCACCCTGTAGTCTAGCCCCAGCGAAAGCCCCTGTAGAGTGGGCGTTACAGCTCGGGGCCTAGTCTACCATGCCGCAGTTGGTGGGGTGGTGCGGGCTGGCGGCCAAGTCTCTAGCGCCTCCCATCTGCAGGGTGACATGGCCCATCAGCTGTGTCTATAGCACCCCCATCCATGGGGTAAATATGACCCAGCTGAGTCTATAGTTCACTAGATTGGCTCCCTCCTCTGGGGAGTAAGGAAGGGACTTGGGGGGGCCCAGGTCCTCCCTCTCTACCGGGCCCCAGCCCAGGGCCTTGTCAGTGGTAAGTGGTTCCCGCCACTGGCTCGGTGAGGAGTTCCCCCCGAAGCAAGCCGAGTCAGCCAAGAAGCCTCCTGCTCCCCCTCCCTGGTCTGCTTCCTACCCTGTCCACTGGCCTGTGTAGTCCCCACCTGTGCTGGCGAATGCTGCTCCATTGGCGGCTGTGGCTGGTACGGCGGCTGCAGTTGGTGCAGCGGCAGCTATGGCCCGTGGCTGACATGGTGGCTGCAGCTGGTCTAGAGGGGGTGGTGGCTTCTGTGCTCTGGGAAGAGCTCCTTCCCTTCCGGCGGTCAGTCCCAACTGAGCTGCTCCTTTATATTGGGTCTTTAGTTGGAGTGTGCCCAGCAGGGCTGTGGGGGAGGGGCATTCTCAGCCCAGCAGGCCTGGTTAACCCCTCCCCAGCCAGTGCGGGATTGGTATACTCAGTCACACACACTTCCCCTTAAGAGGGACTCCTGGGGAGGTGCGCATCTGAAACGAATAGGGTTGTAATGATAAATACCAGCGCATAATTGGTATGTTTGAATCTTTCATGCTATGTAGCCAGTTCAGCGGGACATGGTCAGTCACTAACGTAAAAGGATTACCCAAAAGGTAATATTGGAGGGCCTTAATAGCCCATTTCACTGCCAACACTTCCGGCTCTATCGTGGAGTACCTTGTCTCTTTGGAGAACAGTTTGTGGCTCAGATATAGAATGGGGTGTTCTTCCCCTCCTGTCTCCTGCCCCATGACCCACCTCTGAGGTGTCTTTCTGGAGAATAAATGATTTTGTGAAGTCTGGTTGGGCAAGTACCGGTTTTTGTACCAGGTGGTCCCACATGGCCTCAAAAGCTGCTTCACATCCTGCTGTCCACTCGACTTTCCGGGGTCACTAGTTCTTTGTCATGTCGGTTAGGGGTGCTGCTAATGTGGTAAACTTAGGTATGAACTGGTATTTGTGGCCCCTGTCGGGTAAAAAAACAATCCAGAAAATACCGGGGGATTTAAATGGCGTGTGGTTTTTTGTTTTGTTTTGTTTTTTTGTTCAACCAAATTTTCCCCGCCATGTTCAGGATTTTTTGTGAAAGTATCTAGCAACCCTACGCAGCGGCCACGTGTAGTTCAGTAGATTGGCTCCCTCCTCTGGGGAGCAAGGGCCAGGGCCCTTTCAACAGTAGGTGGTTCCCACCACTGGCCTGGTTGAGAGTTTCCCCCGAAGTACACTGAGGATGCTTCCTGCTCCCCTCCCTGGACTGCTTCCTACACCTGTCCACTGGCCAGCACAGTCCGCACCTGTGCTGGCGAATGCTGTTGCGTTGGTGTCAGCACCTGTGGCTGGTGCGGCGGCTGTGGCTCGCGGCTGGTGCGGCAGCAGCAGCTGGTCTAGCAGCGGTGGTGTCTTCTGTGCTCTGGCAGGAGCTTCTTCTCCTCTGGTGGTCAGTCCCAACTGAGCAGCTCCTCTGGCCTTTATATTGGTTCTGCAGTGGGAGCATGCCCAGCAGGGCTGCAGGGGAGGAGCCTTCTTAGCCCAGTAAGCCTGGTTAACCCCTCCCTGGCCGGGGGGGGGCGGTTAGTACACCGCATCACAACCTCCAACTATTTCCCAAGGTACACAGTGCTTGCAGGAAATACCAAAGACAGCACTCTCCATTTCCCTTTATTCCTCCACAGCAGTCTTCACTGCAGGGTGAGATGTCTGAGGAGGAAGAAAGGAGAGCTAATGAAGGGGTACACTCTTCTCAATGAAGTATTTATCCACCTCCAATTTTAAACAATTTCAGGATTTTATGAAAAGAATAATAAACACACTTCAAATCCCATTAGAAGAGATCCAAGAAACTCAGCACAAATAACTGGACATTCTTCACACATCACCTTCAGCACAGATAGACCTTCCTGTAAACAAAGACAAGACAATTTAGCACACCTCAGCTACTGTCCACCCACACGCCTAGCAATAAAGTAGACAGACAGACTTACTACTTTCAGGGCAAGAGTTCAGGATTTTTATTTTCCCGTCTGGCCCTTAACTCCTTAATTTTGGAGGCAATAGATGAACAACTACCCCAGATGCATCTCTGAGTGGGGATGCAAAAGGTACCATACTCAGGCAAATATTCCTTACATATGATTTTCTGAACATAGACCCTTCACCACTTTTATCAAATGGAAACATTGGGGATGTGGGCTCTGGGATGGGGCTGTGGATGAGGGTTTGGGGTGCAGGCTGCCCCATGGCTACAGTGAGGAGGACTCCCCCAAGCACTCCCTACCTGCAGCTGTACCTGGGATTAGAGGGAGAGAAGTCTCTCCCTGCCACAGCGACTCTAGGGCTAGGACCACAGGATAGTTGCTTCTCCCCCAGCCATAGCAAGGGCACAGGATGTGGTGAAGGCTAGAACTTTAACAGGGAACAAAAAAGAGCTAGATAGATTCTTGGAGGTTATGTCCATCAATAGCTTATTAGCCAGGATGGGTAGGAATGGTGTCCCTAACCTCTGTTTCTCTGGAGGTGGGTGACAAGGGAGGGATCACGTGAGGATTAGCTGCTGTGTTTCCTTCCTCTGGGGCATCTGGTATTGGCCACTGTCGGCAGACAGGATACTGGGCTGGATGGACCATTGGTCTGACCCAGTATGGCTGTTCTTATGTTCTTTGACATAGCCAACAGTGCCCTTTCTGGAACAGGGGCCTGTACTATCCACACCAGAATGATTTAGTAGGTGTCACCAGTGATTCAAGGCCTTAATGAATCAATGCCCCCCTCTGTTCCTATTGCATCCTCCGACTGTGCCTCTCACCTGGCCAAGGTGAGCTTGGTAATCAGTCTGCTGACTGGGCCTTTCCCTTGCTGGAGTGTTAACAGCACAGTGATGTCAAATTGGAACTCCTTCCTGCAATCTGTATTACTGATCTTTGACAGTCTCTATAAAGCACATTCATTCAAGGCTGCTCTAAAGAACCTACAGCAGGGTAAGGATGCCATTGCTACTTACATAGTGCATTTCTTCATTTCACTGCAGACACAGAATGGAAGAAGGTTACGTAGCATTACCCGTTCTGTGGGAAGAGATGAAAGATTAATTGACCTATGTTGAGGCGTCTATAAGTCTGGATGCCTTCACTGACTGCTAACCACATAGATAATCAGTTATGGGAAAAGAGAAGGCCTCTACAGTTCTTCCATCTTCATGCTGTTACTTTAGCACCAATTTCACCTGCTAAACTAAAGGAGGTTATAATGGGGTCTGAGACTTACTGGCATGGTGCCTCCTGCATGTCACTCTGGGCATTAGCTCAGTCCTCAGGAGGGTGCCCCTTCTCGCTGGTCTCTCACCTGTTGTCACTCTGTACTCTCTCTACTTTATAACTGTGGCCCCACATCGTTCTCAGGACCATGTTGTTCTCTTCAGGACACTGCCCTCCAGCAGTGCCCACCACTCTGGGGGTATCAGCAGATCTCAATATTGTACCTACCACCATGGCCAACTGCAGCCAATGTTTAGACCCTCACCTCAGGGGCAAGCTACAGCCTGTAGAAGCTACGCTCCTGTGGTGGCTAGATGCAATGCAAAGAAGGAAGTGGAGGAGAACCAGGCCTGCCTATTACTCTGGGTCTTTGCCCAGGGACTCTCTGGCCACAGCTTACTCCTGACCTCTCGCTTCCTGGGCCACACTTCCCCTTGCACCTCCTTGGCCTCTGTATCAAGGCCTAAAGTCTGGCAGGTGTCAGGCCAGAGCCTCTTTCTTTGGCTCCCATGAGCCTGTCCAGCACTGCTCTATCAAAGGAGCTTCTTCACTGGGAGCCATTCCTGCACCCTTTTTGGTCAGAACCCAACTGCTCTCTGCTTTGCTGAGCACCTCCTTATAAACAGGGCTACCCCAGGAAGCTGCACTCTGGCTCCCATAGGAGCCCTTTCCTCATTGTATGGGGGCTCTGTGCAGTCTCCCTCCAGTGTGCTTTAACCCCTTCTGGGCAGCGTGAAGTAGACACCTCACTACAGAGGTCAATCTGGCTTGTTAACAATTCACCCCTAAAAAAAGGAATGACACCATTGGCATCACCTATGCGTCTATTGCAACAAGCCATTTCCACCTGTCCTGCATGACCCCAAAGACGCTGGGAAATGAGTCAGCTCTGGCATGGTAAGAGTGACTGACATGGCTCTGTGAGGAAAAAAAAGACCTTGATCCTAATTGGAACACGCACCAAATCCCATTTAGAGGCTTCCCATTTTCAAGTATATATCTAGCAATGCACATCCCCAGTGGATTCTGATACAATGGACTCGCCTTAATTTGAAAGCAGTCAACAATTTCACAGATTCTTTGTAACAGAATACTACTTCATTCCTAAAAAAACTATTGATGGCTCCCTATTGTCTTTGTGTCTCGTAGATGAGGAGACAGTCCTCCTGGAAGCTATAATTCATAGGCTCCAAGAAATACTG